AGCTGAGAAACATCTGGTTGCTAACCCCAGACAAAGCATAATCTGGTAGCCCAGGGATTTAAGAGGTCTCTTTGGAGGGAAAGAAGTTTGGCAAATATCTTATTGAGATCTCTGTTCTTCCACAGTTGTTTCTCAAGTCTCAGTCACTGCTGCAGTGTCAGACACAGTCGTTCTTCATCAAGGCCCTATTTACACAGCATCCAAGCCTCAGTGATTACAAAAAGCTGTAATTAAGCATTACTCACAATTTCCCGGAACAGTTCTGAAGGTGTGGGACTGTGTGTGTGCTTCCCTGACATGTGTTCCCCCCTGCTCCGTGGAGAGAAAGCAGCTGTTTGTCCATTCACAACCACACTGCTCTTCCAGCGTGCTCACACCAGTGCTGCCAGCCCTGCCTGCCCTGGGCCCATCCAGCCCCAGCACTCACACCGCACGGACACGGACATGCAGGAACCTTCCCTGGGGTCCTCCACCTTGAGGCCACAAACCTCCCTTCTCTGCAGATCTGGAGACCAGGATCAGGAAAACTATGAACACACAAACCTATAAAAAAAGTGGGGACAAGGGAAAATGGACTCATTCTGATCAGTATGGCTCAGAATTTTGCTTCCTTTCTCTTTCTAGAATTCTTGGTTTTCATTTCTCTCAAAGGTAATTTCAGCTTTGGCTATTCCAAGACTGCCTTCAAGGAGCAGAGGGCTAGTGGGACAAGACAACACAGACAAGTAAATGTCCAGCAACCGAGTCAGGAAGGACTTTTAGGCAGATCATTTGACATTTATTCTCCCTTTTTACTACCCATATACAACAAGGCCTTCTAGACATCCCAGGGCAAAGCCACCAACAACCCAGCTTGAGAGGCAGCAAATTAGGACAGAACCCACATTTCTGAAAACCCTTTGTTGGCTTTATTGAAAAAGAGATAAGGATGAAAAAGGCAACGAGATGTTTGACAGATACAAAATCGTGAGAAACCACCTTATCACCTTATCATCTTCCACCTTGTCTTCTGCTCCTTCTTTTGTGGTATTTGTTGTTGCTGTTGTTGCAACAAACATGGGAGACATTGGGAAAACATAAAGGCATAAACACCAAGGAAATGGGACTGTGAGGGGAGGGCTGGGAAGAAGACACTCAGTAGAGGCCACAGAAGTCTCCCTCCCAGCATGCTTGCTCTGGTCCAGCAAAGCACTTAAGCAGGCACCTAGTACACATTTGACTTCATCGAGCTCTTCACAAGCTTGAAGAGTTAAGCAGTTTTGGCAATTTGCTACAGCAAGACCAGAGAAACTGAGAAACTGACTCTTGGTCAACAGCAAGGTTAGCTTGCCTTTGAAGAGCATCTTAGCCAAAGATTCATGCCGTGTGGCAGTTTCCACTCACTCAGGAAAACTCTAAGCCACCAGAGAAGGTTCCTTACATTCAAATTAACACGTAAAAAAGATAATATACTAAGAATATAATCATTGAGCTTTGTTCAACTCCTTTCAGTTCAAGGTAGAGCTTGAAGCAGACATGTTTACAGGTACGTGAAGAACTGGAACTACCTTGTTTCAGTGTAAGCCAATGACAGCTTAAAATAAAGTAGTGAATTCACTGTGCTGTTTCTTGATGTAGGAAACACTGTCCTGAGGATGAAGCATAACCCCAAGTGCCAGTGGCCAAGTACCACAAGTACAAGGTGAGCCACAAACAGCACCACGGCTCTGGACAAGATACTGCAAAGTCTGATATTTGGAGGAGTAAAGCACATCTGAACACTCCTTACATCATCAGGAAAACTTGAAAAAGTCTCTGGCTTTGCTTCCCTATTTAAAATTGGCATAACAACATTGCACCTCTACATCACATTTACCACTGAGATAAAACGTTGGGGCCCATTCCTGGCCCAGCTGCGTGCCCCACAAGTTGGGCCACGGCCGCATCCAGCTCTGCTCTCGCTTGCTGGCTCTCACTCTGGTCCAAACCAGGCTAAAGCTCAGCCACTTGCTTCACACATAGCTGCTGATGGCATCTTTTGGCTTCAAAGTTATTCCACTAACAATGATGGAAGAAACTTAACTTCTAAATCCTAAGCACTAGGTTAAGAGTTTAAAAGGACAGAAAAAGCATATTTCAGCATATGCTCCCCATATAAATACACAAAGCTTAATTACATCAGAGGAAGAAGCAAATAAGCTGTCCTTATTAGCAACTCAAATCTCACTACACTGGTGGCATTCGCCTACTGTCGGCACAGTAAAAAAAAAAAACGCTTTCCACAGGTTCTTAAATCAGAAACTGATTCAGGATCACCGTGAACAGAGCGCCCGACGCGAGGAGCGGAGCTCCCCCGCCGCACGCGGCGCTGCGCAGCGCTATGGCTCCCCCTAGCGGCCGAGGCGGCACTGCGCACAGCCGGAGCACCGCGGGGCCGCCCGGCGCGTCCTCTGCAGCGCTGCCGCGGGTGAGTCCCGGCGGGGGGGGACGCGACAAGGGCGGCTGGTCTGCACTGCCTACCCCCCCGAGCGGCTACCTCCAGCACAAGCCCCCAGGAGCAGCATCTATTTCGTGGCCATAGGAGTATTTATTATTGCTCACGCCTTTACTTCAAGAGGCACCAGATCGGAGTGCAAGCCAAGGTCAGCGAGCAGAGCTGCACACCCTGTCCTGCATTGCACGCAGGAGGAGGAATACACGCAGGAGGACGCAGGTTCACCGCCCACCTCCACGTCCGCAGCGTGAATAAGCCCGGGGCACGTGCTGGCAGAAATGGTCGGTCTCTACCACCACGCAGCTTTGAGATCGCACACATTTGACAGAACCATAGCAGGGAGAATCAATAGCATCTGAGTCTTAGTGTGCTATTTTTCCATGCTGCTCATACTTAGCATGGAATGCCAGTGCACAGAACACCAAAGTGTTCCTGAGTGCACCTCCCGCATAAGACAATGAACAGTGAACCACTTTTTTTTTTTTTTTTTAAGCATCCCCCAACACTGTATCACAAGGACTATGGCTAGCACAGATCCCAGTGAAGCATGGCTCAGGTCAAAGCAGAACACACCAACCTGTGCCACTTGCAACACAAATCTGACAGTTTCAGAGTTTTCAAACCAGTACTTGCATTCTGAAGGCAGGGGAAGCACCAACCATGCACCAACCACACCCTCCTGAGCAGCACATGGGCATTCTCACAACAGCTCAGTAAAACAGAGCCATTCAAGAACCACAATGCAATGCAATAACCAAGCATTTTCCCAGTTCCCATTTAACACCTTCAGATACAGAGCAACTTCAAAAACATAGAATGCTGACACAGCATTAACCTCTCTGTCTTCACAGATGCCCTCTGAGCTATGACCAGCAAAGACCAGAGGACAGCATAAGTTTCTCACCCCCTTTTCTGTCCCCACACCCAGAACTCTGCATTTCATCGCAATACTGAAGTGAATGCACAACTGAGACTTTCCAGCAATCTTCGTTAGTGGAGACACTGTGCACCCAAAAAAGCCCAAATTGTGCAAACCTTTATCCATCTTTATCCAGATTTACAGAGGTCTGTTTTTCACAGTTCACCACTTGAGAATGAGGTAAAATTTCGGGCTGTGAAGTTCTTCATTAACGTGACAATGCTGCATGCAACCACGCGTGGATTTGATTTCCTCGGGATTACGGCACAAAAGGTCACTGCAGTACCGGCACCTCAGGCTCCTCAGCACCACTGGCACTGCCACTGACAACTCCACGCAGGTCTGTCTGAGGGCTAAATTAAAACTAAAGCTTCTCCTTGGCACAGCAGCAGCAGCAGCTGGATAAAGACAATTGCCTTTCACCACCAGTTTTCATGCTGTTAACTAAGCATGATCTGTAGGAAGATACTTCCGACAAATCAAAAATTCCACAGAGGATCAAAATCTAAACATAAATACAATTAAAGCCTTCTAATATTAATGCACACTTTTTATTATATTAAAATCAGGCAATGGTCTGATACAATAAAAAGGCTGCTTATGGAATACTGTTATGTTAAATCTTAATTACAGAGGATGTTAAATCCTTACAACTAATATTTTCCTCAAAAGAGTTAATGGAAACATCATTGTTCACTGACTTGATAGCTGCTGCTTTAAAATGTACTTTTATTTTCTTTTTTTCTTTTTTCTTTTTTTTTTTTACACAAACACTTGATCTTTTCATAAAATTTCAGACACACTAGGTCGGTTGCATGTAAGCTTGCATCCACATTGCAGTTAGTGGTCCAAAAGAGTAAAACAGAAAAAGCAGCGATTTGCCAGGATGCAAAGCCAATACCGGTCCTTAGTCTGCTGTATGCACCGCTTCCCCACATCTTCACCAAGGGGTTTTCTCTTCCAAGACTCAGAGAATGCTAATGGAATCTACGCTGACTCAATTCGTCTGTCAGACTTTTAGAAGGGCCAACCTGGGTGCTGCACTCAGTTAATCAACTGGGTTCCTGGGTCATTCCAAAGCGCCAACAATACAGCTACTGGAATTGGAGTGTGTGTTCTGAACCTATATGCAGATCTGGCAGCAGCAGATTTTAGCCATCCTGGTAAATTACTGCTCTTTTCACCATGTCAAAAACCTATCTAAGAACATCAGCTGCAGCCAACTTGGTGGTGTGGCAACAATGCCAGAGGAACAGGGAAAATCCACATTTGTGAGCAGAACAGATACTTTTGATTCCCAGGCTGGTGAAGACTAAATTTGTTGCAAAACCAAAACAATAAGCAGAAGGGAATATGTCAAGTTATTGCCCCAGTGCTTACCCCTGCCATCCAGGGGTGAGAAGAGACACAGAGAGGGGCAGAAAGAAAGCAGCATCCCCACTAAAAAGAGGGGAAGAGGGAAGAGATTAAAAGAACCCTGAATCCCTCATCCAATGCTCATGTTACTGGTGAGGGAGATCAGGAAGAGAAATACAATCTATGCCTTGGCCAGAAGAAAGCTTGCCCCAGATCACCAGGGCATTAAAAAAATATAAAACCAAAAATGACCACAGTCACATTCAGCCTTTACTAGAGATAGCACAAAGGGAGGGATGACGGAGGTTAGCACACATCCCCATTAGTAGTCCATTAAGCCCAGTGTCATACTGGAAGCAAAAACCTTTGTGTCTATTCTAATAAACAGCCCTGAGCTTCAACACTATTGCAAAAGACAGAAAAAGGAAATAACAAAACAACCCAGGCCAGACACACAGCAAGGTGATTGTGGGATGTATGCTTCACAGTTAAGTTAGATGTGCCACACTGGTCTTGACAGTAATCAATTTAAATCGACTTTTCCTGATACCAGAAGTTCAGCTATGTGGACAGTGGTTACACGACAGGATTATTTGTTATAGCACAACTTATATTTCAAATGAAAAAAATTAGTATCATTTACAGTATCTCAAGAAAAATCTTCTTTGAATGGGAACTTCCTTTCCAGTATTTTGAGGTCTACAAGATGCATCTAGAAAATTTACTACTGTGGAAAATGAAGACAGCTTAAATTGAATAAAGGGGCATGATTTTTTTTTTAATTAATTGCTGTAACATTGTCCTTCAGGTGGCTGAGGAAGTTTCATATTTTCTTTAGACATCATTAGACGCCGAAGCTCTTGCAGAACAACTTTGATACTAAAAGAATTCTGCCATTTTGCTAGGACTGATATGGCTCTGGGATCCACCTAGAACAGACAAAAACACCATTTCTGTCACAATCAGTAGTATCAATACAGATAACTCCCACACACACCCTCCAGCCAAAGATCTTTTAAGAAATCTGAGTGGAAGAAAACAAAGAATGCAAAAGCAAGCAAGTGGTGTTCCTGAAAGCATAATTAATCCATGCATATCTATTTGCAAGCTGCAAATGTACAGGAAAAGTACATTTTGATTCCAGTATTCTCTCAGCTTGTACAGTTCCCTTCTATTTCCCTCTTTCCTTCTACTCTAAGAAATGGTATGAGAAAACAAAAAATATTAAAGCAAATTGCAAACATAAAGCATTCATTTGAAGCTGCACAGGAAAGTCATGTAAAATAATAAAAAACAAAAACTTACCACTCCATTAGAACTATTTACTCCATTCATATTAATTTTTGTTACAAATCTTACAAATGGAGGTGCTTCTGGATACTTAGGCCCACATTCTATTTTAAGGCTGTATATTCTGTTTTCATAAATTGTCTGGGGGAAAAAAAGCAGGGAGGGGGAACAATTATATCAGGCAGTTCAACAATCACTTGCTTATAACAGTGGTTATTTCAGGGACCCGGACCACTAAACAGAAGGGTAGTCACTTGTATACTATGCTGGCTCCCTCTGTTTTGGGTTCATTTTACAATATTTGGAGCACCAAATGCTGCTCTTCTGAATATTAAATTCTACTATTTTTTTAAGCACGTATTGAATTTTCTCATAAAGAATGAAGCTGGCATTGCTTCCTGTTCACTATCTGAAATTATTTTTCTTATCATCATATTTTAGATATCTACTTTTCAACCAATCTTTATAAATCAGTTCTGTTTTTATCAATTCAATAATCAAAACATGAACTTGAAATCAAACTATGGCTTTAATGTAGAGAGCTATCTGAAGTTGGCCGGTTCTAAAGCTGCACTTAAATACTTTCTTTAGTCAATGGTCAACCCAATGCATGAGCTGTCTGAAAGATGAATGCTCCAAAATCTAGTATATTTCAAAGTACACAAGTTGTACCAAAAGTAATGCCTCCTATTTATTTTCACGGAATCTACAACAGATACATAAAGGACAGTGACATTATTTGACAGAGCAAATTCTCAGCTATAAAACACTGTTTCTCAACATGTTCCCACCATGATTCATGGAGATGAGCTGATCAAGGCACTCTTCATTTTGTTGTATGACAGCTGTGCAAGGCCATCTGGAACATGGCTTATCCTTCACGTTGCTGTTGACAATGCTGAAAGGCACCACCATGACTGTGCCAGCATCCACTGGTTGGTCTCCATATACATTCAGCAATCTTCGATGAATGTCAATGGGAGCCATTTTTTCCTCATGGGGAAATTCAGTTTCCTCCCTTTGCTCCATCAGCACTTCCATGTCAGACACCACTCTGTCAGACTGCCCCTCTGCTGCCAGCTGTCACACGGCAACAAAATGTAACGGGACGTTGGTGGGAAGGTTCAGCCCTGCTGCCACACCACCAACACCCGCCTCTGACATCACGGGCCAACATCACAAAATAGGAGGCATTACTTTCGGAGCAGCCCTGTACATCCTGATCCCAAACAGCATCAACATTGTCCCAGACACTGGGAGACAGTCACCTGGCTCAGCCTGGACTGCTCCAGTCTCCTGACAGAACCAAGTAAGCTCTGTGCACAGAGCAATTAACACACCAAAGTCTGCAGGTTTTTACGGTCCTTGCAGGTAACCGCATCACATTAAGACTAGGGAACTGGAAGTCTTCACCACGCTCAGGTCTAGAGCCTGTATAAAATAGGTGCAGACAAAGTCAAAGTTCTGACAGCACCACTGTTATTGAATAGTTTGTATAAGCAAGAGGAATGACTTGCATCATCTGCACCAAGCCTGGGAAGGAGCAGTATGCTTCCATGTATGGTAGCAGGGACACTCCAGAGCAGCAGCATGGATCCAGCTCAGCACAAGAGTTCTTTTTTCCCTACAGGATGCCCAGCGTCAGATTCCTCCACCTGCCACAAGCACAACTGTTTTCTACTCAGAAGAAAACAGGATTTTTTTATTTTTCTCCAAAGCCAGTATTTCTCACATCCTATTAAAAAAAATGGTAACTACAGGACTGAGTATGAACAGACCTAAAAGCAGAGGAACCTCCTCACAAATAAGAATGTCTGAAAGTTCCCAGAATCTCCATTACTGCAGCCTGTGGTTTTCAAACAATTACCTCAATTCAAGAATGGTAAAAAAATAATAATAATAATAATCTGTATTCATAAGTGTGTCAGAAAGACAAAAGAGGCACAGCTGAATAATTCTTTTGATAGTCCTCTAGCCTTGGATAGCAGTATGACGTGAGCTACAGAATTCTATCATTGCTGACAAGTCAATATATGCCTATTTGCATGTTTCAGTTTCTATTTGAATTTCTAAATTAGATTTCAAGGTTGTTCAAATTTTGCATAACATGTAGGCGTACAGTGAGCATTCCTCACAATCCTAAAGTAGTCTCATTAAAGCTCTCTAATGTTCTAAAATCAAATGTCATTCTGAGAATGACAATCTGAGAAACAATTAGGGCATATCATAAACAAATGAAATGATCATGTAAGGGCAGATGTTAGAAATGGCAAAAAGAGGAGAACACTTCTGGATGAGATTGAAAATACTGCATGTGTAAAGTGTTATGAATTCCTGTACATCATCATCTTGAGTCAGAAAAGGTAACTGACAAAATGGAAACACATCAGGCGGTAGCACGATTGAAGGATTGTAAAGGTTTCCATATTGATAGCACTGGCATTTTTGAGAAGTGATACTGAAGCCAGACACAGAGGACAACACAGATTACTGCAGGAAGGAGAATTACCTACCTGCACCTCATGGCAGGAACAACAAGGAAACCAAACAGAAATACACAGCAAAACTGGGGGCCACAGACACCTTCTGTTTTTAGAATACATGCATACATATAATGCATTATCAAACCCTAATATTTACTGCCACAGACCCTCAGCTGAGTAAGGTTTTGGGAGGGAACGAAGACAGAGAATACACATCATTGCTATCAAAAAGATTATGACTGCATTACAAGAAGCTACTTTGGGAGAGAACATTCAAAAAATAACTGAATTCATTAAAATTCAAGTTTCCTGAGTTAGCTGAAACTGTAAAGGAGCATGTCAGTATTTCTGCAATCAAAACAAGCCCGCAAACTCAAGAGGATGCAGCAGAAAGACCACCAGCAGTACTGACAGGACATCCACATTTTATCTAGGTTAGCTCCATGTGTAATCTCACTAGCTGAAGGATTTTAAACCTTACTGTATTCAAGAGCAGAGGATACTAGAATCCTGGAATCTCAAAAGTTAGGTCTTAATGAATCTGTAAAAACAAAGCAGACGTGACAGAACTAACCAGAGGTGGGTACTAAAAGTATTCCAGATCATAAGCAAAAAGACATAGAGATACATGAAACCTGTTTGTATACATAAGTTAATCTTTCAACATAGGTCACTCGCTGAAGAGTTTTGCCACTCATTTGTGTTTTGTTTGTTTTTTATTTCAGCGTTTAGATTATGAGAAGGAAAAGAAGAAGAAAAAAAGAAGTAACACTGGTATTTTAATATTTAAGTGGATGCTTACTCTTGGAGGCCCAATAATCATTCCTGTCCATCTTGTGAGTGTCATATCTTCATCGTCTTCAAGGCCCCAACTAACTGTTCCATCACCTACTCCTTTTTGACCTTCTTCAAGTTCTTCCAACAGACGAAAATTACGAGGAACTTTTACTCCTAAAAAACAATTAGAACAATATTTTAAATAAAAACTTTAAAATACCACCATTTCTCAACAGCGTACAGATAGCCCTGTATTTAGCGGAGTTTTCAAGTGATACCAAACATGCCGATAGTCTGACAGGCCAGATGTTAGGGCAGGCAGCAAAACGAAAGGAAACCTCTCCATCCACTCAGAGACACAAACAGTATTATGGAGCTCTATTAGCAGTTGTTTAAATGACCTATAGCATGAAAATGTACGAGATCGTACAAAATGAGCAGTCAAGTCCCTCATGGTGTCAAGTCTCTCACAGCTTTTAAAAATATCAATCTACAATCAACTAAAACACTTTCACAATGTTAACAGGTTAACCTGAAGTTCAGTGGGCTTTGTCAGCAGCTATGCTGTCCTTAGTACCTCTGACCCCTTATCACCACAGAATTTCAGAACTTCTGAGCTGCTAGCACACTATTCCTTAAAACATACACAGTAAAACAGAGAAACTTTCTTATCCCCACTACATTAATGAAAAACAATGGCACATTGAGACACTCGCGGTCACAATGCTGCATTTGTGGTGAAGGTCCTTGATCCCTTCATTGTTTGTTCTTCCTCGGGATGCTCATACCTCAGCCACCACAAGCAGATGCACACTCCAGGCCACTTTTTCTACCTCAGATACCCAGGCGGAGCACACGTCTTTCCAGTGGAAACAAAATTATTGCCAGGATACATTTGATGGATTTATTTTCACCTGACATACAAAAAGTTTGGGATTTGGATTATTTTTTCACCTCAATAATCCAAAATGAACTATGCACCAAAGCATAATAGTGGAAAATCCTAATGAATGCTCTTCAGCATCACTGATGCAACATGGTAGCAAAAGAATGAGCAACTCGCCTTGAAGCATCCAAAGTGGACCCAGCAGACCTCTCCTAAGACGTCACCTCATCCAGCATTCACAGCACGTTGCACACAGAGGACGTTAGAAAGAAACCAAGACAGAGCTCTGAGAACCATCTCCAGAGCTCCCTGAAAACATGGGCAGCCACTGGCAGAGGGCCTAAGGCTTTGTAAAATGTAGTGGCTTTTAAAGTCTGGTGGCTCTGGTGTTCTTAAAATCCCTTCAAAGTATATTAACGACCTACGCAAATTAAATGTCAAAGTCACTCTTGCTCCAGAATTATAGTTGCCACAATTTCATTCACTACACAAAAAGCAAATTACTGAAGGAATCAGTTTGTTGGCCAGTTTGGTACCAGATCTCCAATAATCAAGTTCCAGAATATCCTGGGTAAATGAGATTTAGCAACACAGTTATAGCGAGGACACAGAGAGGAGCCCAGAGCCAGCTGAGAGGTATCCATCAGTCCCACCAGAGCAGCACCAAATGCAGGCGGGGCTGCAAGGCACAGTGCAGTGCAGCTCCACGCTAGATCATGCTGTGACCGTAACTGCTGAGCAATACAAACCTTTGGCTGTGAAAGGAAATGAGTCAGTGCGGCTGTGAAGCCATCACCATGAGGCTGATCCCAAACCCTGAGCAGGAATAGGACCTCTTTAAGATGGCTGCCATCTCCCTAGCACAAAACTTCCAAATTATGATGCAGCCTGTGAGCCTTCAGCACGGAAAGGTCCAAGTGTGCTCCTCACAACTGGGCTAGGCAGATCAGGCATCCCATCGTAATTGGAATCCATGGGGACAGATGCCATCACCACCTGCACATGCTGCTGCTCTGCAGGACCTTCACTGAGCAAATCATGCCACCAAACCACATTTCTATGGGCAACACCACAGCGATGCCCACCAAATGTGATCTGAACCTCTCTCTGTCAGTGCTTGCTAATACCACCTCATATTCACCAGTAGTGTGAAGGAAACTCGCTGAAGCTGAGTGAGACCAAAATCACAACCGAAGAGGAATCAGTACCATGGTTACAGCACTGCATGCTTTAAGGAAAGCAGATGCAGGCCATACATCAAAAGAGAAAATCACAAATATTGCCTACCTGCCCCTTCTCTAAGCACCAAGTACTCTGCTCAGTGAAAGAGACAGGAATCCTGAATGAAAAAAATTAGGTGCTCGTGTAATTAAAAATTCCATCATCTGGCGAGGCCATAATCAGACCAATGGGCAACTTTACAGCTAAGCACAGCTAGGTCTGGCTTTGCAATGTTACAGGGAGAAAGAGCAGCTTGACCTCAGGGCTCCCCCAGGGCATGGCTGCTCAGATGCAGCCACGTCTGATTCCACCGGAACTACAGCCACCCAATGCAAACAGCATTTCTGAGGTCCCTGACAGGTACAAGGTTTGCAGAGCACCCACTGCTCGCATCTCATGTTGGCTCCTATTAGACAGAAAAGGTGAACAGAAATGGTTATTAGTTCCACAGCAACTGCTTTCCAGTAAGCACTGCAGGAACATTAGCTTATTTCCAAATGACCTGTCCTTATATATAAGGCAGAGGAACGGATCAGATGCAGGCTGCTGGTCAGCCCACGAGGACATACAAAGCTGAAGGCAATGGCCTGGGCCACACAGAGACAGCTGCTGCATCCTGCTGATTACAGTACCTGGGCAGGACTGTACTTGCTGGCTGTACGCAAACATACCATCGTGCTTTTGTCCGGCAGAATTCCTGGAAAGCGATCTGAATTGTTCCATGCAACCACACTGTTTGTCAGGCAGAGCAGGCTGTGCCAGGGGATGCCCCGATCCACCCCATCACCTCCCACAATGCTCACAGCACAGCAGTGGAGATCTCCCAGGCAGTTCCCAAACCAACCTGTTTTTCTGAAAGCCCTTTGTGTAACACACACACAAAAAAGTCACAGGTAATTAAAAATTAATAAATAATACTTCCAGCTATGCATTTTTATAGAGCCTTCACTGTGGCTCAAGTAGACTCCCACACAGGGGGAGCATTTATGGCATAAACACACAATTCTACCCAGATAATGGCTCCACTTGCAGCTTGCCTGATCTTGCAAAAATGTTCCCAGAAACATAACTGAAGAAGCATTCCAGAGCAAAAGCAGGTATTTACTTCCATTCAAAAGAACAAACCTATGAAAGCTGAGCCACAACTCTGCACCAGTAAAATAAACTCTCAAACCACACAGGTTTGTACAGTCTCTAAGAAGTTAATTTTTAGTAAATTTGCATACAGGAAGCCTCAAAATCCAGACATTAATTCATTAACTAGTTCATGAAATATTTTTACAGGAAATTTGAGAATAACACTGAATCACAGATGAAGTTTTGCAGAAAGTCAAGACATGAATTTTACTGAACTTAAAGTTGCAGTTAAGGAGCTGCTAGGTTTTAGGTGACATCTCTCCAGCCTTCAAATAGAATTAGGAGCTTTTGCTTCCAAAACTTCCAGTGCTGCTGCACGGATGGGCACCAATGAGTGTTTGGCACCAAGGCTGTTTGCTGGACCGCGAGCCACAGGCTGGGTCAGCTCAGTCACACTGGGACCAGGAGCCCGTGGCTACCAGAACCCACTGCAGTTCTGCACCAAAGAAACAGAATTATTTCTGGAAGACAGTTAAATGCAACTTGGGTTTCTAATGCCCTTAAAGCACTCTGAGATTCACCTTCAGCACCACTCCTCCCTGCACCACTTCGGATGCAGAGATACAGAAATTCATGCATCTTACAATTATTCTTAAAGTGTTCTTACCAGTCTGAGGTTTTCTCAACTTTACGTTCTTGTGAAGTACACAGTATGTCTTTAACAAGTTAAAAATAACATCTGCTGACAGACTCTGCTTTTTAATATTTTAATTTTCCCAGCTATAGACAGGAAGCAATCCTGAATTCAGAGACTGTATCACAGTGCAAACAGCGCAGTGAGAGCAGTGAAATGAAGTGGGCAATGCTTCTGAGAGTGGGTGCTCCTCCTGAATACTCCTCCTCGGCCTCACAAAAATGTCAATGAATCTCTCTTTCCTTTCTACAATGAAATCTTGAGGATTAAAGCACAAATATTTCATAGAAAACAGCTTAACAAAGCACACTGAAAATGCTCTTCACTGGCGCTGTGGTTTAACCCAGCAGACAGCTAAGCACCAGACAGTTTTATACTCACCTCTTCCCAACCCAGTGGGAAGGGGAATAAAATTAGGACAAAATGCAGTAGAACTTGTGGGTTGAGATACAACTATTTACTAAGAAAAAGACAGTATTTAGGACAAATACATAGATTTGTACATAACAGGTGATGCTCAAGCAATTGCTCACCACTCCTCCACTGATGCCCAGCTAGCCCCCCAGGCAGCAGAAGAGAGGGCGATGAACTCCCACCCCCTTCTAAACTCCTTCTGCTTGATGTTGTATGATGTGGAATATCCCTTTGGCAGGTATAAGTCAGCTGTCCTAATTCTGTTCCCTCCCAGCTCCTTGGGGTCTTGGCTCTGTACAGCACTGCTTAGCAGCAACTATCAACACTATTATGCTATCAACATTCTTCTTCTCCTAGAACCAAAACATGGCATCACAGCCGACATTCTGAAGGGAACAATTCTGTCCCAGCTGAAACTAAGACAGCTTGCCAGGGACTCTTAAAAGAATTGCTGCAGGTTTCTTTACACACTCATGGATAATAGGAAACCCCAAGTTCTACCCTTTCAAGGCAATTTTAATTTTCTGTACCAGTTCCTCACCTACACTATTTCAAGGGTGAAATCCATTAACTTTAACTGCCTTTATTGCTCACATACATTAAAATTCTTACTGCTGTTTACTTTTGTGCATTTGCTATTCAGTCTTTAATACACTTCTTCCAATGTAATCCTCACCTTTCTGCAGACTGCAGCTATCCGGAAATTTGACAGCTTATCCATACAGTACTACAAGTGTAAAAAATAAATAAATCGTTCCTTGTCAAAAAGGTATATAGTTTTTGAAGTGATGTAATATTTAAAACAACAGAAGACTTTCAGCAATTGTCACAGAAACTTTTAGGATGCAGGAACCTTTGATTTCCTGAATCTTCTTTACAGACATTTCCTCCTTCACACTGCAGACAGGTACTGAAAAAGCTTGCGAATTCAGAATAACTTCTTGAGCACCTGAAATAATTCAGTGTATTCAGTTGTGCAGAAGCTAGAGCCTGACTCTGTCCTTCACTGCTGGAAGCACATTACTTAAAGAGAGGGCTTGGCAGAGGGCTGAAACCCAACATCCTGCCAGCAGCAGGAGGGTGGGACACATTCCATCATTTGTATCAGAGCTGAAAAGCAAAAGGTTACCACCTCGGTTATTGCTCTAGAGAAGTCATCCTGAAGTCATTCCACAGCTGGGAACACTGTCCGAGCACCCTGCCCTGCTGAAGGCACACTTGACACCTCAGCACAATTCATTGGACTCATCAGCTACGTGGTTAACAAATTATTATATTTTAATATCCTAATGAATTATTTTAAGTTTTCAGCCAGAATGTCATTCTTCCAATACATTATATAACCATACCATTACATACAAAAAGATTCAGCTGTCTTATTGTCAGATTCCTGAAATATTTACCTTTATTTCCCACTCTATCCTTGCATGACACAAAAGCTGCCCCCAACTTCTTCAGCAACTGCTACTTCAAGTACTCTTATATTCCACCTTATTTAAGAATGCACAATGCACCTTTCCAGTTTCTTCTTCATTTCTTTCTCCTTCCCACAGGTATTTTACTGACAAAGTTACAATGCACTGGCAATATTTATTGGGATAACGCTGAGCGTTGTGTGCAGTACATATGCAACGGCTCCCATACCCTTCTGTAAACAGTTTCTTCTGCTATCTAATGGCTGTTCTTCTTTTCACCAGCATATCTGAGCTTGCAGGGATTTTATGGGTCCCCCAACAATTACAAAGAAAAGTTTTTCATACACCATACTAAAACCAGTCTGCCCTTTTCTGTCTCAGCAATATTAACCACACAGATTGCCACCATCACACCCATTCACTGAGTGATTTGTCCTATCCTGCTGAGGTTCTCCACATTCCTCTGACCTTAGTAACTTATATCTGGGCAAATCGTGTTACCACTCTGTTCCTGTGGGCTGTTGGCAAACACAGTGTCTACCACAGCCCTGCATCATACCTATATGAGAACGGTGAGTTAAATGAGGTCATTACACTTTTTCGCATGATAGAAATTGGAAAAACAGGATCTCATAGGCCAACATGGCCAGGTTCTGACCCCTTATAATAACTGTCTTTCCACTAGGGCATGGCTACACTGGAGCAGGAGCAAGCTGTGACAGAACACTCAGAGATACCCACCTGCACAGCTCTAGGGGCTTGGCTGCACCGTGCCCACTCCCTGAGTCAGTGGAGCCAACCTGTGCAGCATGCAGCCTGAGAGCCAGGCAAGCACTTACTGCTTGGGTGCTGTGGTTTACTGTGAAACCTTATTAGGATGACTAAAGCCAACTCTTTATTCATATATTAACTGTGAGGAAAAGAGAAAAGAGAAAAATTATCATCTGCAATGCAGAACTCGTATAAACAATACTGGTGAGCCTAACTTCTTCGCATTTTTTCCCCCTTTTAATTATTCTTACTGGCTTGTTGAATAAAAAGACAAGGTTTACTTGTATAATTCCCAGGATCAGCCCTAACTTTTTTTCTTTAAATCTGTAGTGCTGTAATCTATCATTCCTTCCTCTGGGCCAGTAGCTGCTTTCAAAGAATGACTGAATACTTTTCATTCACAACCTCTTCTTAAGCTCTTTCACTGAACTATAAACTTATGATATCAAACACCTCAAGTATTTTGTAAGTAAATATGAATGCATTTAGATGCCATGAAACAAGTGTTAGCAAAACCTGTTCTACAAATGAGTGAAGACATTGTGATGCCTGCATGCAGCCCCACAGTGAATCAGGCACACTGCAGAACAAGGAGGTGCCACTTCCTGGCTGTGTTACCAATGCCCTCAGCATATTGGTGAGGAGGAACCATGACCTGCATTGTAGAGCCACTACTGCTGTCAGGAACTGGACACTACGTTGCTCTCTTTTTCAGAAAGGACGATCTCCAGCCATACTTTACTGTTAGACCCAGACAAAGCAGGTTGGTGGCAGGTATAGCAGTCTGGGATTCACAACTCGACAAAGCTCCCAGACCCACATCAGTGCAAGCCATGGATCTGTATGCAAAAGTTCCTCAGTCCCAACTATGGGGCTTACTGCAGAAGTTCACTGTTTCAGCAACACATTTTTTTGACACATACTGTTTTGCACTATTTCCTCTTGCCAGCAGCACTTCAACAAACAGGACCTCAAGAGCAGCTATGCGCAGTGCTTGTCTGATGTTCATGTTTTAGAAGCGAGGAGCTGAGCACCTGCTTGCCATCTCTCTGGCTCTGTCCTGCTTCCAACACTGAAGGCCAGGGAAAGTTCAGGAGGATGTGAGGTAACACAACAATCCAAAGGCACAGTGCAGCTGATGGACAGTGGCTACTGACATACAGCTCATCCCAGAAGCATGAAAGAACTGTGCAGACCTGGCTCCAGTCTCAGTCGCTAGAGTTTGGATCTCCATCTCCCCTCCCCCATGACCACCCAGACAATAACTCATGAAGCTGCACTGGCTTAAAAGCAACAATCACTGGCCTTGCTTTTCCAGATGCATACAAAATGGAAAGTCAGCAGACTGATAGGATTACAGGAGCGGAGAAGTGAGATAACGTGGTAGTGGAAATGTGCACCGTCCATGGGCTTTAATCAGGTGCTCCACACCTCACAGTCACCTGCTTCCAAGCACAGAACCTTTTTATGAACTTGGTCACTAGGAATTAACCGCACTGTGACATGTATTCTTGAAGGCTGGAAAGCCACCAGCAGAAACCTATCTGCAAGGAAAGTACCTCTAGATATTTCTGCTGTACCTCACCGTGCAGCCCTCGGACGTTCCCACATTTATCATCAGAGGATGCGATCTGAGCATGGTGCTGCTAGGGCACGCTGGGCACAGTTTACGAGAGCAGGTGGGTGAGATTGGCAAACAGGAATGAAAACGCGTTATTCGGTCTGCAGAGGTTGCCCAGAAAGGGTCAGCAAGAAAAGATGCATCGAGGTCCGGTTACCGCCATTTAGTTCAATGCATAAATGATAACCGTGGGCCGTTTAACCATTCATAGCAGGTGCAGAACGAGGCAGGAAATCAGCATTCAACTTCCTGAGCCCTTTGGAAGCGGCACCCTCGGGCCTCGGCCCCCCGACAGCTGCCGCCCGCCCCGAGAGCGCCGCGTCCCCCCGCCTCCCGGAGCCGGGACTCACGGCGGGCTGGGGGCGGCCGGGAGCGGCCCGGGCTCGGCGGGGCCTCCGCGCGGGGCGTTCCGCGGCTCCCTCCACCGAGTCACGCCCGGCCGCAACCCTCGGCCCCGGCCACCCAGCCGGGCCTCCGCCGCGAGGCCTCGCAGCCCCGGCGAGGCTGCGGCGAAGGGGAAGGAGACGAGCCCGGCCCTGCCGCCCCGTGGCCGGGCACCGCGCCCCTCGGCCCGGCCCCCGCTGCCGCCCCCTTCCTTCCTTCCTCTTCGCCGCAGCCCTCGCCTCTCCGTCGGCCGCCTTCCGGCTCGGCCCCGCCGCCTGCTGCCCCGCGGCGAGGGGCGGCGCCCCCCGGCCCGACCCGGCCCCGCCGCCCGCTCACCCGCACCCGTGGTGGCCGCCATCTTGCGCCGCTGCCGCCGGAGCCCCGCCCCTGCCGCCGCGTCAACGCAACGCGGGAAGTGAGGCCTCGCGGTGCGGGCGGGCGCGCTAAAGGCGAGGCGGCGGCGAGGTCCGTGGTGCACGCGGGAAGCCTCGTCGCGCGGGCGGGCGCCGGCGAGCTGAGCCGCGTTGCCCGCTGTTTGTGCCCCCCGCAGGTCGGCGGCCGGGTTGTCTCGGGGGAAAGCAGAGCCCAGCTTCTGCAGAGGCGCCTGAAGTACGGGCACGCTTTCAAGCATTTAACATCCTATAGGACTCCAATGGAATTAATAATTGCCAAACCACATTCATTATGGCTAGAACACAGGCAGCATTTAGCTCCTAATGCTCTTAAATTATCCACAGTCACTTGGTAATAATTTGGTGTTGCTTATGTAATTTCTTCCCAAACGTCTTCCCATTCCATTTTCAGCTAAGGAAAATACCAGTGCTGTAACGCAGCCATTTCACTTGCTGCCATTCCCTTGCCGTGAAACACTGACAGCAGCCCGTGCTGCACGAGCGGACGGCGCCGTGCGCTACTGACCACAGCGGAAGCGAGCGGGCAGCAGCGCTCGGTGCTCGAGCACGTGACCCAGACCCTCTCTTCTGCAGCAGGGACCGTGCGGCACAGACGGCTGTCCGCGCTGTGCTGCTGAAGGTGGGGACTGTCCAGATACAGCATCTGGAAAAGCCGTGGCCAGATGAGACGCAACAGCAGAAGGACCTACAGTGCTGTGTAGGTCCTTGGTTCTCTATATTCAGTACAGTAAGAAAAAGGAAACAACAACAAAAACCTGAAAGGAAATGAATTAATGAATTCTGCTTTGTTTTACAGTACATATTCCCAAAATCTTGTCCTGAGACATCGCATAGAAATTTCACAGAAATTATTACAAAGTAAAAGATTTAAAGGATCATTACTGTCATTCAAACCCTTATTCTGTTATATCAACTCCAAAGAGCACAGCTTTTAGCTGCAAACGGCCACGGTACTGTTTCTACCAGTTATTCATTGACGCTGCTTTAAAAATAGCAACACTAGTCTTGCTGGTTAGACTACAGTTTAATCCCAAGGCTTTATTTCAGACCGGCTGAGAGCAGCAGAGGAAGCAAACAGGGCAGAAGCTAGGTGGCACGATTGCTCAGCAAACCTGACCAGGAGCTAGGGGTGCAGATGCCAGGTGCTCCCGTTGGAACTGCTGCAGTTCTGGGGCAAGGTGGGTGCTCAGTGCAACCCCACTGCAGCAGTCCCGTCCCCTCTGTGCCAGGTGTGGGAGGGGACAACAGGTAGGGCACCTCGTGACAGCCCAAACCTCCTACTTTGGACCTGCTCCATGCAGGGATCGAGGCAGCGTTTTGCCAGGCTGCTGCTGCTGGAGGCTGTTCTGCACCTCCTGCTGTTGTTCTGGGAACTATAGGACACCATGCAGCAACGTTCCTTGCTTTCGCAGAGTGCAACGCTTCCCCTTGTAGACAAGGCCCCAAACAGCTGTGCTTATAGGGCTGCTGTGCAGCACTAGAGATGCAAAAATGAGGAATCTGCCCCCACTTGGTCCTTGCAGTGCCATGAGCAGCATGGTGAGACAGCCACAAAGCCAGGGAAGCCACCGGCCTGGCAACATGCTGTCCTGGAGCCCCAGGGAGCAGAGGGCCATCTGCGTCGTTTTGAGAAGTGACAGAGTGAAACCAAGCAGCCTCTGCAAGTGTCAGTCACACTGAAGCACAGGCCCTCAGAGGGGCTGGTTCTGTTTTAGCTCTAATCTGTTCCTAATCAACTTAAGGCAAATTCATCTTAAGCCAGATTTACATCTGTTGAGAAGGATCCGCGTAGCTTTTTGCTCCAGAATCGCCACGTGGATTTGACAGAGGCACCTACTGCTTTAAAAAGGTGAAGGAGCTCCTGGAATCCAGCAGAAAGACCAGAACCAAGCCAGCATTCATTAACACTCTGCTAACGACACTGCTTTACTCAACTCCAGTGAACTGAGCAGAAGGGAGGGGAGTAGGACAGGAGAGAGAGAAAACCAAAGACTAGAAAGCTGTTAGAATATGAATTGCGGGAGCTTCAGGACAGAAGGAGACATGAATTTAGATTTCTGTCAAGATATGAGAGGTAACTATTACTGCTCTTTGTACTCACAGCTTTGTACTCTACACTCCTAGAACTGTAGGAACTTGCACACTGGAAGGGGAGAAGAGGGAGAAGTGTTCTTTGTTCTGGACACAGGATTGTTTGCATCCCCACCACAGCAGTATTCATCACGTTTTAGTTCAACTTCTGTCACACCTGTTACACCAAAGAAATTTAAAGTAAGTTTTAGCCACAACTTGTGAATATTACTGGATCTAACTTAACTGATTCAAAGTAACGAATGTCACATCAGCTTGCCTAGTAGGGGAACCTACCATTCTTCCCACAAAAATTTATAATCACGTATCAGTCTGTGATATACAACAGTCAGTACCTGGAAATTAGAACCAGCTTTATCATTGTGTTTTCTAGGAACTACTCTGACCCAACAGATATGGCACAGAATCAAGCTTCATAAATACCTGGATTGAAGAGAAGCAGCATTAATTAACAAAGAGCTTGACATCCTGTAACAACCTCCCCTAATCAGGCTGGCAGACTCTGGCTGCTGCCCCCAGCACTGTGTGTTCCTATGCACGGCCTTCTTCACCAAGGCTGATGTTGGAAACCTTGGGTGAGAGCTGCTCTTTTCAGCAAGAGCAACACAAAATCAGTTATTTTCCTCAACAGCAGTATAAAAGGAATACTCCTCCCTTTTCCTCAGTTTCAACTAAATGCTTACCAAACTGTTCTTTATCACCAAAGCTACATGGACACCCCAGCACTGACTGTAACAATCGGAGAAGACAATTTCACATAATAGTAAAAATGTTGTCCTTAAGGGTCTGAATCATTTAAGTATATTAAACACTTGGTACCTATAGTACCAACTGTGACTTTATTTGTAGAAGCCTGCTCAGACTTCAGCATTCATCAGTTCTCACTGAAGGAGAGTTGCCAAGTCCCAACCCTTCAATGTGTCGTCCATCATTGAAAATTGGTACTTAAAAGCTTACACACACAGCAGGATCAAGGTCAGTCTGAACCTATGACTTAAAAGCCCCTTACCAAGCACTTCAGGAAAGTACAGTATAAACTCAATACAGTTTACAACTAGTGAAAAAAACCTTCGGTTTGATCTTCAGTAAGATCTCATTTAGAAGAGAATTAAACAAGAAGCAAATCACATTCACTCAATTCCGTGCCTGTTGGATGTAAACACTTAATATTGTCCTAAGGAATTTTTTTCCTCCAATCTTATCCTTAGCATCCAATGCCATTGCAGCTAATTGCACTTCTGGAAAGGTGCTGAAGTCTGGCGTAATGAGGTGTTGATCTCCTAACAAAGCTGAAGAACAAGTGACCACTTCAACCTAAACAAGACTTTACAGGCTGCAAAATACTCAGGTGCTTGGAACTGCATTTTGCAACCAAGTGATCAAGTCTGGACTAAACGCTGAGAATGTATGAATGAAGAACAGCAACAAGTCATAACAAATATGATTAGTATTATCCAATTGCTCTGTTATAAATATATTATATACATTCAAACATCACATTAAAATATTATTCCGTTACACCAGAAGAGATTAAGGCCTTATATTATTTACAGAAACAAGCAAGCACCTTAAAAAAAATATGAACAAAACATCAGTCATTGACGTTTCCCTTCTAACATTACAAGTTTGATACCTTGAGCTCTTGAATACAGCTATTTGCAATGTGCCCAATGCTATAACTATTTCAAACATTTATTGTCAGGGTAGGAAACACTTAATAGAAGGCTCAGCAGTGAGCACTCCACACAAACAAATGCAAGCATGTGCTGTGCCCTCCCTCTCCTCAGGCAGTTGTTAAGGTACTACTGAAGGCTTATACAGAAATGGTTTGCCCAATTTCACGTAGAGAGTAGAACAATTTTATGTTAAGGGAAACTGAGGACACTTAAGGATTCATGACCCACTGGTGGAGTGGGATACTCAAAGTTCTGTTCCACATTACATCAATTAGATTTAACATGATAGCAAAGATGGAGCTGCAAGTTTACCAAACAAAGAGTGCATTGAACAGTGATGATTTTATAGGCTTCCAGTACTGACACACTGTTTTCATGCAGTGTTATTTGGACTCAAACATGAAGTGACAAACTGTGGTCACCATTCCCCCCAAAGGTTGTAGGCAACAAGCTATTTTTGAAGTGTTAAATAATGTTGATACAACACGTTTACAAAGCCACCACGTACCAATGAAGTAACTGTCCTGCCTTCTGGCTTGCCTGACAGCTTTACAAAATACAGTGATGAAGTACTTTCTAGGATGTAAGCGACTTGGCTAAACAAAAGGTGCTCAGTAAAAGTAATCATCTTCAAGTATTGTTTTAAGAATTAGTTCTTTAAATTACAGTCTGTTAGCACTTCTTAGTTTGTGCTTTAGAGTCTGTTATTTCTTTGCAGGTCTTGAATTTGGCTGATGGCTTCTTTAAAAAAAAAAATTGGCAACAAAGGTAAGGACTGCAGACAGCTGGCAAAAGTTATTTAATTTTCTGAGCCCATTTCATGTCATCTGCTCTTGGCTTCTCCCCGGTAAGTCCTTGGATCATGTTCTCCAAACACCTCCAGAATCCGATCTTCTCTAATGGATAGTTCAGCCAACCTAAGTGGAAGGGAAAAAAAATGTTTATCACAGCACCCAAAGTATTGCAGTATTCAGTGACGTTCTTTAATTTAAACACAAAGGATATGTGTAGTATAGCTTAGTATAGCTAAGAGGTGGACTACAGCCACTGCAAAGCTGTCAGAAGGAGGTCACCAAGTTTAACTGATGCATGTTAAAAGCAAGATATTTGTATTAGCAGCACTTTAGATTCAGCACTGACATTCAAACAAACCAAAGACACACAGCAATTTCAGCTATTTCCCTTCTAGGTTAGTTTTCCTATGACCAAGAGCCAGCGTGGCTTTTCCCCCGCTTTTCTCATTAGTTATTTGTGTTTATTGTCCTGCTGTACAAACATGATACCAAAATGCATTATGAATGCCACTTACACTTTCTAGAAAAACTGAGATCTCAGGAACCTAAACAACACTAAGAATAAAGTAAAAGTTTTTCCTTACAAAAAGCCTCAAGCATTGATAATGCCAGTATCAACGTTCCCTTTTAAAGTACTTTTATTTTCACCCAGGGAAAGCATAATACATTTAAATTTGCTTAACTGATTGCTATTAAAGGCTGTGGTGGGGAAGCCTTGCTGTAGTACCATGCTGCACTTAACAAAAGCAGAAGGTGAACACTTCCTGGATTAAAAGGACAGCACTGCTAACAGCATGCACCCAAAAGCACACAGCTCAGCTAACCTCACTTCTGCTTCCAAGTCACCAGGAAGGCTTTAACGGGTTGATATGGGACAGGCTCCTTGTACTTACGTAAAAATGGCAGTAAATGGCATAATGTAACAGAAGTTCAATGCATCCTTTCTGGCTTGCAAATTTAGGATAGTTTAAGTGCTTAGTAGGATTGTGAGGCTGAAGTCATACAGGTTTAATAGGCCTCAAAATGAGTTCAGAAGGGGTTTATCTTGCTTTCTGGATGTTAATAAGTACATTAGCTAACTTGCTTTTCTGTATTTTGAAGCTGACAACTGTAGAGTGCACAAAGAGGCAACTTCAATAGACTTCTATTACAACATATTATATAGTAATTTCATATAGTAATTTACTTTATTAAATATTCCAGTAACAAAAAACCAACAACAAACAGAAAAAAAGCAACTAGTACCAGCACTGGGAAGTGTTGTTTTCCACTGCAAGTTTTCCTATAACCAGGAAAAGATAGACTTACATGGGGTTCTATCAGTTATCCCACACTTAGAGCTATTCTGTAAATACATTATAAATACTTGATGTGTATTTCTGGAAAAAGGAAAAAAAGCAAAAGAAAACAACAGTAAAGGAAAGGCAAAATGAAGAAGTTTTTACCACAATGGGAACAGTGAGCTAGCAGCAGTTCTGCTAGAGGAAAGAGACAGCAGAAGTGCACAGGTCAGCTCTCAAAGCATACTCCTTGGATATGGCTGTCTTCTCTTAAATGTGCTCTGCACTTATTAACTAACAAGTGCATTACAGTAACTAGTCATATTTTACACAGTAAAGGTTCACTTTAAATAGCACATTGATAGCTTATTACTGTCCTTTCCATCGTTCATGTCCTAGAAAAGCAATTACGGCTACAGAAACACTGCTCCACTGAAAAAAAAACAAAACAAAAAAAAATCAACTATACAATCTATCACGCTGCCTCACATCAGAGTAGAATGGTATGAACACTTATATAGAAGACTTTTTTTTAAATTTTAAACAAGAACAAAGAAGTAACTAGCTCAAGAACACTGAACAGTCCCGCTCCAGCTTTCAGTTTCTACTGCATCACTTCAGGACATAGTGGGACTGAAAAAACTCATGAGGTGCCAAGATTTTTGTGATCATCTGTGAAGTCAAGTTTCTTAGAAATTGTAATTCTGGTCATAAGAACTACATTTGTTTCCTGATAGAGATTTCAAAACTGACAGAAACTGCTTGACAAAGCCAACAAAGAAGTAAGAACAATAACTTATTTCAAGTCATCTGATTAACATGATAGCTTGTTCAGAACTGTGCAACACCGGTGAGTATACCAGTCTCTACAGGAGGCATAGCACTGAATACAGACATAGGAACCTACAGTCAGTTTCCTCTAAGTCTGTCCTCTCCTCTGCCTCAAATGAGAAAGAATAAATGATGAAAATCCAGAAGCTTTGCTTTAGAAATGAAAATTCAAGGCGAGTTGCACTGGCAGATGAAATGATGCTCTTTGAGCAAGAAGTACCGGCAGCTTTAGCACTTCAGTGAGCAAAATGCATTGCTAGGATGAGGTTCCCAAGATACTGGGCAATTGGATCTCAATAAGACTGCCTACCTCACTGAAAGTTATCTTTTATCCAATCATAAATCTTACTCATTTTTTTAATGTAACAATAATAACTGTGGCTGCAGGAGCTCTTACCAAAACTTACAGCACAGTCAGCTTCAACATGCCTTTTTCTGTATTTAATAGACTGTCACTAAATTACATCTTGCCATGGGAATTATACGAGACTACCAAAAAACCAAAACCCAACACTTTGCAGTATGAACCAGATGACAGTACCAGTTGTAATGCAGAAGTATGTCTCATGTGGAGACACATGGTGAATCCTGTGATGTTTCCGAGGCAGGATAACATGCCAGTCCTGTAGAAAGATGACCCAGCGTGGAAGACCAAAATACGTGTGAGACCACTTGTGAATCTGGTTCGTCATGGTTATGAAGATGATAAGGGCAAAGACATAGCACTCCCAAGGACATGTTTCATACAATGCTTCTGCAAAACAAGATTTGTATCTTTAAATAGTTTTTCATAAAAAAGTAAATTTCTACTAGGAAAGTGTGGTCTTGCTCAGCCAGACCTGACTGGAACTGCAGGAAATATCAAGGGCCTCAAAAAAGTTGCTTCAGCAAGTGTAGTAAGAGCCAATGAGCCATAAATAGCTTCCATATATCACAAGAAAGACTGGGATGTGTCAGCACTGCCAAGTTGCAGTAAACAGGAAGTTAAACCCTGAATTTTTATCTATAAAATTAAATTAATCATCTTTAATTCTTGCTCATCTAGCATTCAATTAAAGTACACACAGATGAAGCATTTAATGTGGTTTACAGCAAAGAGTTTTCTTGTGTAATTTGATTTCCTGTTGTAGGAGAAGTTTACTTCCAATACTTCCTTAGAAGACTCCTCAGAGATTTGTTGCTGGGCTAAAGAAAACGTTTGCTTCGCCTTCAAGAAAAAGAGTTTCCCTCCCCTACTTCTCTAGGGAAGACTGTGTTTCCAACAGCAATTACTTGTCATCTCACATTCATTGATTTCTTCTATCCTCATCAACAAAAACGCCAAATCCTCGGAAGTCATGGGTAACAGCTTACCTGGGGAAAAGGAAACAAATTTGTATGCCATGTTTGCCAATGGGACCAACGTCATGAAGCAGTTGTCTCCGTTGGTCTCTATGAAATCATGCCTGGTAATTGCTGTAGGGTCAATATGATGTTCTCTAAATGGTCTGATGAAAGCCTGAGAAAACAAGTTGAGAAAATGTGTCCCAAGATTTATCATGGAAAGAAAAAAAGAAAAACCAGAAATGGCATCTGAATATACAGTCTCAGAGAAGAGAGAGCGCAAACATAGTAAGTAGGAGAGGGACAGTAGAACAGGAGTAGTTATTTGCTTCCAACACACACATCATGTGTAGTTCATGCAGACGCACACTGGTCATTGTGAGCTCTGCTGTTTGTGTAATGCAGTTTCCTGTGGCACTTTTTTTTTTCGCCTGACATGTTCCACAGATACAGGCAGTAAAGGACTACTAAATCTGTTGAAGGCAAACAAAATTAAAGTTCAAAATCAACAGGCTTAATTTCACTGAGCTGGTTCTCTTATTTCTGAATAACTGCAAGGAACATCCCATATACACTTCTTTTTTTTTTTAAAAAAGAGAATGTCCTAATATTAGACTGTGAGGAAAAATTAACAGTAGTTATGAAAAAGGCTATTTTAAAAAACAGGTTACTGTTTATTATGTCAGTACGTTTTCCTCTAAGCGTCTGGCATTTGTAGCTTTGTGTGTAATACATCATTTACAATAGCAGCCAGGGGCACCAAGAAGTAGAAAAACTTTTTACTAGAGCTTCTTCATGTTATCTGTAGAACTGCTAAAGAGTTCAGCTGCAGGAACAGGACTCTTGGTGAAGGAGGACAGGGAAATTCTGTACTTCCACCTTTTGGAAGCTCTATACAAGTCTAGTCAGGTTTCTATACTTGTGTGCCACAAGCTATTTCACTGCCACTTGGGAAGGCTTGTGAACACTGGTACTGCAGAACTGTGTGCAAAGCTAATCAGGGTGATAAAATGTAACAGCATCACCTCACACGTGTCACCAGGACGACATGTAAGCATGGTGCTCAGAGCACCGTACCAGCAGTATATTGTGCCATTAAGAAGAGGAGAGTACAAAGCAGAGGAGTTGGTTATGCCTGCAAGCTGCAAGAAGGGTACCTGTCCAACACAGCTGAGAATACTGGAAGTGTTTCAGAATAGGATTTCATCAATTTTTTAATGTTTAAGGATAAGAGTCTCAAACCTTTCCAATGATGGGTAGCTCCACAGATCCCCAGGTATCTGCCCCCCAGTGAAATAATCCTGATAGAAAGTCTGCTGTAATTACGCCTGCAACTTGAATGAAGAGAGACATACAGTTAGATATGCAAAATCATTTTTTTACTGATACATCCACACTGTCTACTTGTTTCACAGATTTATTTGCTTATCTACTTTTACATCAGATGTTTACAGCCACGTGAGATCTACCCAACCTGAATACATTTAAGGCCAAGTAACTAGGAACAGTGTTTAATGAGGTATCGCGTGGACAGCTTTTCACTATAAACAATGAGCTTTGTGTCTGTCCATCTCCTAGAGAAGAGTTTGTTAATCTTTGCAATTGCTGGCACACAGAAGATTAATAAATTTAAACCATGTCATTTAGATCATTTTCAAATGCACTTTCTCCCTGGATCTACCCACCTTTCTTCATTCACAGTGTTTAACAAATTACTTGCTACAATTATAGCTGCTAGAGCTACTCCAAAAAATGCTACTATCAGCAGACCCTTCCTCTTCTCCCTTGGTTCCTTGTATCTGCAGGCAAGGAACACAAAACTTCAACATTCCACGTAAGCACCAATTAAGAAATCACTCCATGGCACAGGAAGCCTGCTGACTAAATAAGATCGGAATGTCAAACAACTCTGTGACTTTATCAGCTGCAGCGCTTCAGGCAGAGGCCGAGGTTCGTGACATGGGACAGCCTACACCTCTCATACTTCCACACCACCTCAGGTACACCATCAAACACAGTTTGCTAAAATAGGATTTTTCTAGATGTCAACGGCAAGAATTTAAAACCTGTGACTAATTAAAGATAATTTTCAGTTCTTGCATATAAAGTCACATTTCTGCCTTCCTTCTCTGGATAATCCTGTACCTACTATTCAAGTTTCAGGGCAATTCTGACACTTAAGAGTAAGGATATAAGAGATGTAATTTGATCAGAACAGCAGTACATTTTCCAGTCAGTCACAGATCTGTCAGACGGTGTTCACAGACGCCCAATTGTTCTGCATCTGTAGAAGAAATCCTACTCCCAGGTTACTAAGCCCTTGAGAAATAAAGTCTCCAATGCAGTCCGAGATGCCCTCCTGCATAAGTGCTACTGCCAAGATCTTGACTCTTTTGAGGAAGAAAATTCAAAAATTGCCCTTGTTTGTAACTTGGAGGCTAGGGGAAAACAACAGAACAGCAATATAGCTGTAGCAGCACAGAGGAGGAACACTCCTCAGGACCTTTGTACTCGAGGGATTTAAGACGGTCAGATGCTGCTCAAAGAACAGACATTCAGAGGTACATTCAGTTGTAGCCTGCATGCCTTCTCTGAGCAGTTTGTTCATATGAGGTTAACCAGATGAACTGTTTGAATCAAATCCAGATTTGAAGAATAAATCAGATTAAGAATCAGAGTCCTTTTTCACTGCAGTGCTGTCCTTTCAGGTTAATACATACTGCAGAGAGCTGTGCCTGCTCAATTATTCTGAAACTGACTGCCCAGTGTGTGCACACACCTGGTGGCTCTCTGTGGAGCATTAGAGCTCTGACAGGGAAAGGCAGAACACACTTCTTAGCTGCCGCTCTGGTTAAGCAGAAGTGCTACCCGGATTTCTAAACAGCTACTGCATTACATATGCACTTGGGAACACAGTCTGATCTCAGTGCAAATCCCTCAAGAATCATACGAGAAGTTCATGCCAGTTAAGGTGCTACATACCAAATTTGCAGTCTGCTGTAAAATGAGTCACAGCAACAGAAATGCAAAGAGTGCTCATAGCATGCGTTTCAAAGCATCTTAGTTAGCAATCCCCTCCTCTCATTTGATGGTCAGAGCATAAGGCACAGTCAGGGCTCCTGGCACATCTAGGAGCTCAGGAAGGAGCCCGTAACTGCCTGCCTGCCCACACCAAAGCAGCCACAGGGCTGGGGCAAAGCAGCTGGAACTTAGTTCTTCAGTTTCCCCTACTGATGTTTAGAGAAATCAGTTTGCCTGGGCAGCCTGGTCTAGTGGTTGACAACCTTGCACATAGTAGGGGGGTTGAAACTAGATGGTCCTTTTCAACCCAGGCCATTCTATGATTCTATGAAATTGCCCACTGTAACAGCCTTTGCAGAAGAAACAGAGAGTTGTGAAAACATCCATAACGCAGGAGACTAATCTGTGCTCTGACTGCATTATTAACTCCTCTTCAGAGGTCTGGGAAGACAGCAGAACTCCTGGCTTTCTCCTCCACTGGCCACCATTTGTTTCTCTGTCTGAAAACCTCCCTCAAGCGCAGCTTCTCCATCATAGAGCAAAGCTTTCTGCGGCAGGCAGGTACGTCTCTGCCTGCCAAGAACTTAGGCAAGGCGATTGCAACTCACCTGTAATCCAGATCAAAAGTTATAAGCATTGGTATACCAGTTCCTCTTGCTTTAGCTCCAAGCCATTCTGTTACTCCTCTCCCTCTCACAAACTCAAGGCATCAGTGACACAGGCTGGCAGGAGATATGCCAGGAATTAAAAACAACCAATGTGCATCTCCCTGTAAGTCATACAATTTACACCAGCCCTGACCTGAACCTCACCTGATCTAACCCCCCAACCAGGGCAGTTTGGTCAGCTGCCTCAAGAGTCCATTTTATTAAGTTCTTTTGACACAAGCAGGATTGCTGAAGAACAGGTTTTTGTTTTTCAGAACATGAAGGGGGACCAGATTGTTCTGTCACTATTGACCAAGTGCTCTTAAGCTTCAGGGCACAGCACTTTCCTCCGGTACACATGGCACAGTGTATTTCACGTACAGCCTTCAGTGTATGTGGTTATATTTTGCCGAGCTTATCCTTCACCTCTACATTCCTTCTGTCTCCTTCGCTCTCATTACAGAAAGGGAGAAACAGGCTAACAAGTTACCTACTTCAACAAAATGCTTTCTTTCCACATTATAGATTCCCGCTGCTGAATCCATCAGTATTCAACCCAAGCAGCCCAAATTCTTAAAGGAAGAAGTGCCCACCACTATGTTTGTTTATTGCACTGAATACAGCCCACACCTTATAAGCAGTAAGTTCTGTATGCTTGTTTTACTTCAGACCAAACATGAAAGCTACAGTGAGACATGAGCAGCACAGTGGCTTTGGGATCTGCATCCAGCAATGGAAAGAGCAAACAGCCTTGATTTGAGGGAAAGATATCCAAACAACACTTTGCTCTACAACAAGTGAACACCATTCTCGCTGAGGTAATCACCCTATTAACCCCCAGTGCCTTCAGCACACTGCATTCCCAGAGCACACAACAGCAGGAAGAATAGCTAAAAAGTGGAGCAAAACACTGACCGCTCCACTAATGGCTCTTATGTTATGTTGACACCAAATGTAGGAAGCTGAAAGGAAAGAACAAAGGGTGTCTGAAGCAGTGAATTACACTAGAGCAGTCTGAAGAATCTAACTACTATAAGGTATGTCTCAGCTGTAGTGCAGAAATGGAGTATGAAGAGTTGTATGAAAAGAAGAAAAACGCAGTACCACAGCTCACACTTGCATCCTGCCTGCAGACTCAGAAGGCATATCAGACTCCAAAGAGTTGATCTCAATGCTCTCATACAGTTGGCATTGTCCCCAGTTATAAAAAACCAAGGCCTTAGGAAAACCAAGGCACGGGTGTTCGGTTACCTTCCTCTTGTGGAATCGATCTTGTTGCTCTGTCATCAAGGCTGGGACAGCAAGGTAGGACAGCCCCACAGCCCTGAGCATTAGTTAAGATTTAACTGTAAGGTCAGAAACACAGGATACAACAGCAGTGTATGCATATGGACTACACTCAGCAGGTTTACACATTGTTAGAAGACAGACCTGTAAAGCACTAGGGAAACACTGCTCTGCACACATTAATTCCTCTACCTTCCCAGTTGAGCCTATCTCAGGTTTGCATCTGAGGAGAGAGTAAGTATGCTGAGAACACAGGGAGATACAGTGCTGCGGTTCAGAAGTGAGCTGCAGAACTGCTCAAAGCAGCAGGATTCTCGTGCTGTGCAAGCAGACAGCTGAAGCAGGAGAGAATGAAAGCACACTTCAGCCAGCTACAGGCACTGCAGACTAAGGGAGCACGACAGATACATGCAGACTGCAAGAGCGGCTGTTCTCTCCCAGCTGTGACCCTTGGCAGACATCCGTGGGGCACTGCTGAGGAAGAAAGCGCTCGCTGGCGCCAGGGACGTGCCAGGGAACATGCAGGGCACCACGTCACTCACAGGCACAGGCAAGGGGTGGCGGCACGCTGACACAGGCAGTGCTTGAGTCACGGCTGTTCTGCTCCTGTTGTGGTCTGTTGGGACCCCAAGCAATACACAGGAGCCAAGGCCACAGAAGGCTCACTGCTCCTCAAGTACCAGAGGGAAGACGCCACAGCCTACACTTAAAGCCTTCTCTTCTGAGAGCCATGTACAACTTCCTGCAGCCCAGCAGCTCCCAGGCACCAGCAGAAGGAAGTCAGAGCTGCGTGCTTCGGGTATGGTGTGCAACAGACAGAGCTAGTCTGCATATTTGCAAAGAAAAAAAAAAAAGTTTTACTTGGCTGATACCATTATATAACATCATTTTAAATCAGTGATTGTAAGGACTGTGCTATAACACTGAGGGGCAGGGAAGTTTGGCCAATGTCACAACAAAGAAATTTTGCACTGTTCAGAAATCAAAATACTGAGGTATCAGTTGTTTGTTGCTTATGTGCTTATAAAAATAAAATGACTCAGTCATCTGCATCCCAGCGCAGCAGCTTTACTTTGGTGCAGTCAGTTGTAGCTTGGAGCCGGCAGAGCTGTGATGCTATGGCAAGCTGCAACACTAAGAACATTACCCCTGAGCAGGTATAAAGCACAACAGCTTAAGAGCAAGAAGAAAAGAGTTAATCATTCTGGTGAGGTCCACTGAGAAAGTCAGAAGAGCTCACAGCGGGAGCAATCAGAAAACAGCTGAAATTTGAAATAAAAGAAGGGTCTGGATTTTATATATCCCTAGGGCACAAACCGTGCAACTTGTGACACTGCCAGAAGATACCAGGAGAGGGAGATCCCCAAGGAATCAGGACGCTACCAGTCCTGGAGGCAAGCATCTGCAGAACCTAAGGCAAATGTTCATCTCATAAAAGCATGCCTTGGCTGAGGATCACTACCCAATAAACTTGACAGGAACTGCAAAACTTTATTTTCATGTCTCCAATCTCAGTGTGTTAGTGCTAAGTAAGAGGATTATTCCTTCATTCCTACCATTTCCCCAGTAGATAGAGAGTTTGTGAAACACCTGGCATGTTTAAATAGCAAAATTCTGACAATCTTACCTAAGCCTCAGGTTCTTAAACAAGAAGTACCATTGTGGGTACTTCTTTAGTAATACCTTAATTGCTTTCTTTCTGAAAATGTATTTCTTTATTAGGGCAGCCCTCCAGCACTGCTGGGTGTCCTGAAGTTAAAGAGGCACCACTCTGGGTGAATCAGGGCGCTGAGACCCACACTGTAAAATTCTTCAGTCAAAGCCTGCTGCAGCTTTAAGAAAGCCCCCAACAACACAGGGAGCAAACAGAGCCTTCCTTGTCTCTCAGCCACCACTGCTGACATGAGGAGCAATAGCACGTCCACTCTGCACAGAAATGAGCAGGGAAGCTCAACTGGAGCTGCGCCACCAGCATCCCCCTGCTGCTAGGAGCATCAGGCAGGGAGACAGGCTCAGCCCTCCCTTGAGGGATCACCCACAGCTGTTCTGCCAGAGAGCAGCTCCAGGCAGGGGGAGCTCACCTCTTAATCCAAGCACACACAGCTGGTGGCTCAAGCAGCTGCCCAAGCACAGCCAGCAGCTACATCTGTCACTGCACCTCCACAGCTCCTGGGGTCCTCTGTAGCAGGAAGGAACTGGAGCTCCTGCACCAGCTGTGTGCAGCATGGTGTGTTAATGCAAGAAGTAAGTTGTAGCAGTGCAGGGGGAAGTGCAAAGAGGTGTCTAGTAGAAGTTTTGCCGCCTCCATGGCAACAACTGTGGTGTCTGTCTTCAAAAGAGACTTACAGTTTAGGATGTAGAACAGCTGCGTGCAGTTACTGCAGAGGCAGTGACATGCAGGTCTGGCTTATTAGGGCCAGCATTTAAAGGAGAACTTTCCTTTGCTAATGGAGATTTACACACTCTAATTTCAAAGACATTTTAAATCAAAATTTCAAGCAGTAACTCATTTTAACATACAAAATAAATCCAAGACACAATTACAGCAGAAGATTCTGCCTCTTGCTGTAAGGCAGCTGACATACATGCAAAGCAGCCCACTTCACGGTGTGCTTCTGGAATCAGAGTGGTTTTGCTGCAACGCATGCCAGAGCTTCCACACATCACACCCTCCTCACTGGGCTCTGCAGTGCTGCTGACTGACGCATGGCCTTGCAGCACAGCTACTAGAGCTTGAAAGAAAAAGGCTACTAGTTTGAAAATGAACTGGGTAATTTCTTTCTGTACACTCCCTCTGGCCAGTGTGCATCTAAATAACAACACACATTAACAGGTCTCAAAGAATTAATTCCCCATCAATCCCTCAAGTCAACAAAACCTAATTTTATCTTGTGCCATGTCACAAGATGTTCCTAAAGATATCAGGGTATAAGGCACCTTTATGCATACAAAAAGGTGATGCAAATCCAACTAATTTCTAAGTCTACTGATTAAAAACATAACATGACTGCAGATAAAATTCAAGTAAACCCATTTGGCAAAAAGGCTTTAATATCCTATAGAAATGCATGAGGAGGGGAAAAAAAGAACCAGAATCCATACTGCAGCTTTTGCAATCCACGCTGCAAAGAGGCCCTGTACCTGGTTGGTATCAACGTAGTGCCTATAGATATATCTCATGAATATTGAATAATGAGAGACAACACAAACTTGTCTGAAGGCATAAGAGCTTTCTAGCTTAATGTCATTTGTTTTGGTAGGCTCTTCTACTTACCACACAAATAACATATAAGCCAGCCTCGTCCCCTGGAATTATTCAGCTTCAATGAAGTGTCCAAGGCCGTTCCACTACAGTGATGTCCCACTGCAGAGAAGCAGTTCAGCTGCATCTGGAAAACTGGGAATATTAAACCCTCCTTTGCAGCCAGCCTTCCTAACCACCTACAGAGGTTACCTGTGCACACGTGTGCAAATAATACTGAATCCAAACCTACACAACTGTCACCTTGCACAAAGAGGGTAACTTTCATAGCTCATCAGCAGGTGAAGACATTCGGAACACAGCACGACTGGAAGAAGAGGCATCCATCCTCTGCCTACGCTCTTCTTCTGACCTTGTGGAGAAGGGAGCTGCCCCACATCAGCTAAAGCAGCACATAATACAAGGCAAATCATGTGGGCTCCTCCTCCTGTTCTTCAAGACAGGCTTTAGTCAGCACTGAACGGCCTGCTCCAAAAGCTGTCCTGGAATTGCACCATAACATCCCTGCCTGCTTTCTCACGCTCAGCAGCACGGCGATGCACAGCACGCTGTGAGCGCCCTGAGCAGCCTGCCTGCTCCCAGCACAGAGTCCGTGCTCTCAGACAGCCAGCAGGAACAGGATCAGACCTTCCGTCCCACTAATTTCTAGGTTAAGTTATTCACAGCGAAGCCCACATTGCAGTTGTGTGCTTTTAAAGGCATTAAAAAAAAAGGCTATAGCACAGCCTTTAATTGTAGATACAGAGCCTGAGCTACGTAAAATGATAGAGAAGGTTCAAACCACTCCCTGGATTTTTGTTTGTTCTATGTAAAGAAAGTGTTTACATAACAGCACACAGGGTATCCGACAACCCTTCCCAATGGCCCAGGCAGCATATCAGATCCAGCCCATGGGATCACCGACTGCTTTGGGGTTTCTCCCACAGCTGTAACTTTCAAATACAAAGATCTGATGTCAACTCAGTACTAAGCAAGTTCAAATATCTTTATTAACAGAACATTTGTTCTGTGAGCTCAACTCAAAGGTCAGTATTCTAATCTAAGTGTCAGCAGAGCTTTGGACGGGGACACATCAGACCAAGTTTGTGACCACCTTCCCTTCCCTGTTGTACTACATGTGGTATTTAGGAAACAGCACATTCAGGCAGATGGGTTTTTACCAAACTTAACAAAAACTAATTATTGCTGTCAATCAGACACTACCCACACTTTACCTGAACAAATAATGTATTGACAGCAAAAACAAGATAACATGTGGTACTTATTATTTTATTGCACTCATTTTTGTGCATGCTATCAATAATTTCCACACTACTTTATTTGCACAGAATCCAGATCCTGCCGCTTTAATCATTCACTACTACTTAAACAACATTATCAGTGAATTGGCTGCTTTATCAGTTAAACCGGTATCCAGGATATCAGAGAACTTAAGCTTTTATCAATATTAATTTTGAGATGAAAGCCAGTTGCTAACAGATTGCTCTACAGGTTAGCAATCATTACTGATTCCCTCCTGTATCTGCTCTCATTGCAGCAGAGCAGTTCCTCCTGGCTCCTTTCAGCACTGCTGCCCTGTTGGCCAAGAGCAAGAAGGGAGCTGGCATGATTCCTAGGGGGAGCACACTGCTATCCAAGGAAAAGACAGCAACCTCCCAACAGACAGAAGGCACTGCTGCAAAAATTCACAGCACTGTCAGCAGTTTACAGGCTGGTAATAATAATATCAGGTATTATTGAATTTTCTGTGGTTTTTTTTTTTTTAATTGATGGTAATATACAACTGATGAACAGGCACTGTTCTTCTAAAACACAACACACCTCACAGTTTATTAGAAAAATCTGTTTTCATTATGAAGCACAGAAGCCAAACACCAGTAACCAGATGTTACAATCAGAAAAATTAATAGGGTGGAAGGGCAGTACAGGAACGTAACAGCAAAGGAACCAGCACAGACAGGATGGTATTTCACAGGAAACGCAAAGGTGCTCACCTGCCTCAAAGATCTTGGCTCACAGAGAGGAGACCCTTCCCCACTGCCCTTAAATGAGGTTTAAGAGAGGTGCAGCCAGGCTCCACCACTTCCACTCACACAGCTGAACTGCCTTCACCTGTGCTGCCAGGGCTGATCAGGTCCTTTCCCCAGGTGCTCAATCAGTTGTTCAGGCTGGGACTCAACAGTTCCCAAACACTAGCTTATACAGATTGAACCACCTTTTCAATGACACAACTCAAAAAATCATGTAAACACTGTACACCCAAAACTAGAAGTTAATAGGGCACTGGTTATGCACCAGCAACATACAGGAAGTGCTGCACAATGCCTAACTACTATTCTTCCCTCATTAAAAAAAAATCATAAGTTTACCAGAAAATAACCAAAGAGAAGCATTGCAGAGCTGACTTCCAATCTTTTCAACTCAAATCAAAAGCAAAGCAATCACAGAGCTACACACCAGCCAAGAACCAATGAACAGTAACATTTCATCACACCAAAAACCCTCTGTCCATTGCAAGAAAGCTAAGCATTTGCAACTCACCCCATATTTGAGGGGTCACTCAAGAAAGACCAGCTCCATACTGACAAGACACAACAAAATTAAATAATTCTGCACAGCCGAGACAAAGATATGAAAGTGGAGGCAAACAAGATCAGTCATCTGCAGCTTCTGCAGGTGGTATCACTTTCAGAGTCACTAAGTCAATTATACACATGCCATTTTTTCTCCCTTCCTAGTAACAATTCAAGAGTAAAAGACTGCACATTTGTTTCCAGCATTACAAGAGACATTCTTGCCTTGTTCTTGTCAGCAAACACCTCTTACTTACATATCCCAACAATAATGGAGGGCGTGTGTTCAAGTCGCAAGTAGAAGAGAAGATTGTAAAAGTTGAAACAGATCAGGGAGAAGCATAAGATGACAGAGATCCACTCCTGTAGTCTTTTTCCTGTTGGAAAAAGAAAGAAAAGAAAAGTTGTACTTTTATCTAAGAGGACAAAAAGAAATCTGAAATAATACAGACTATTCTGCCGCCCAGATGACTCTGTTCGTCCAATGGGAAAATGAAACAAACTTCTTATTCACAGAGGCATGCATATTTCATGAAGCAACATTCCTCTTCCCTGAGCCACTGCTGACCCCCTTGTCTCGCCTATGCCTAAAGTAACAGACCCAAACCAGACATCAGCTCATATTGTCCTGCTTTCCTCTTCCCCATAGGAATGCCTTTTTATTTCCCCACATCATGTTTTTTTTTTTCCCCCCAGATCTGCACAGCACTCAATATTCAGTGCTGCAGGTACAGCTGAATCTGGGAACAAACGTCTGGCCTCAGACGCCCCACAGTTAAGTCACAGTCTCAGACCTTGTGAACAGGAAAAAGCACCATCCTGCTTGTTGGTGGCCCCAGAATTGCTTTCTGAAGATTATAAGTACGTTTCTGGGGCTTATTTATTTAACCCACAACTGCTGCAGCCTTATCTTTACCTTCCTGCTCTCAAGCAGAAAGCCATGACTTCCTAGCCATGCTGGCTCCTAGCCACAGAGGCTGAATAAGGAAAGAGAAATATGGGCATAAATTCTCTCTTGTACCTATCTGTACTACTTAATGCCTCTATAATTACCTCAAAAACAAATAAACAAATAAAAACCCCACACACAGACGCCAGGTTATGGCAACCATTTTTACATTCAGGCCGAGAGGCTTTCTGCTGCTAATCACTGCTAGATTCTCACAGGGCACTGATGCTGAGAGGAAGGCAACACTCAAAGCGAGCCCACATGGATTAAGGCATCAGAAACTTTAATACATAATTGCTAGAGGCAGATCTGGGCTGCAACCCCAACCCAGCCAGGTCAGCACCCACCTCCTCCAGGCCCAGCACAACTGCCTCAGCCCTAACATTAAATTAAGACACAAGAACAAGCATATTTCAATATAGCACCAGATCGCAATGTGGGAGATTCTATAAAGTGATCTCTGGAGTAACAAAAGTAAGAGTTAATTAACGCTCACTTCCTGTTTAAGAAAGCCACACCCTCATTAGAGGGCCTAAATGGGTAGGTCCTCGTGGATCAATTAGCAATCTGCAGGGAAGCACCAGGCTCCTTACCAAGGAACTCCAAGGCCTCAGCCTGCGCAAACGCTGCTGCCACAGGGTGTGGGATCCCAGGGCTGCCCTACGGACCCCCAGGCCCAGCACTGGCAGATCAGGAGAACAAGCAGCTGAATGGCAGGAAGCCAGTGCCAAGAGCTTGTGTCTGAAAAGCACTCACATTTCAACGCACGTAGAAAGATAGGGATTCACTTAAAGAAACTGAGGAAGCACTGGAGAGCCACATTCACTCTGCACAGCTGTAACTCGTGTCATTAAGAATTCAGCAGTCCAGCATCGCATACTTATGCCAAAACACATTCTGATGCTGCTTATGTGTTATTTACATAATGACAAGAAATCTGCACATCTAAAACATTACTGCAACTTACTGCTACCAGACAGACACAGTGCTGCACAGACATCCCAGGAGAATCATTCTGCAGATAAGGACAGCAAACTGGATTTGGAGGAAAATCTTTTCCACACAAGTGAGAGTACAGGGAACACATTAAGCTGGTGACTGTTCTTCAGTGAAGCACAGGAATCAGTCACCTCCAACAGCTTCTTCTCCCCTGACACGCTGAGGTGACCGACACATGCTGCAATAAGCACAGATGTGCCTCAAACAATATAAAAAACTGACAGACTCATGAGTACCTTTTTTTTTTTTTTTAACCATTACTTGGCACTGTGCAAGCAGGAACACCTGCATCTCCATTTAGGGCCCTGAATGCCATGCTAAGCCGCTGGAAACTGCGAGCACATAACATGGAGTGCTGTGACACATCTGCTCCTTTGAGAGCCTTCATCTGTACGTGAAGTCACTGTGAACCACAGGAAGACCTCGTGCTGCTCACACTGCCTGCTGTCGCTTCACTGACCTCTGACACACGGCAAGATTTGGGGAGATGAGTGCAGCAAAAGCTCAGCCTGCTCTCCCTGTTCACCTTCCTGAGGGGTTGGGCACCTCGAGTCAGTTCACCGAACACTGCCGTATGGAAGCTCCGGTCGGCAGCCCGCATAGCGAGCAAACTCACACATCTGCTTCTCGACGGAAAGGTTTTCTCCGCAGAGCTCACCTGGGCAGATCCCAGTTTAAAGCCTCCCCAGGAGCAGAACCGCAACTCAGCAGCGTGGAAAGGAGTTCCGCTTCATACCGACGGCTCCCCAGCGTCCGAGGTTGGACTCAAAGCGCCCTGCGAGTCGCCGCGCACGGATCGCGGCACCAAACCAGAGCGGGGCCGAACGGCACCACCGGAGCCTTACGGAGCAGCACCGCGCGCAGCGAGGAGCGGCCATCGCCCAACGCGGCACCCCGACGGGACGCGCAAACACCGCCCGAAGGCGTCAGCAGCGCAGCGCAGCGCCGTCCCGCAGCCCCGCCCGGGCGGAGGCGCCGCACCGCATCGAGCCCCGCGTCCGCCGCCTCCACCCGGCGCGCCGCGGCCCGGCGCGCTGACAGCGGGGCCGCCCGAGCCGGAGCCGGGCGGGGCCGCGCCGCTCAGCGCCGCGCGTGGGCCCGGCCCCGGAGGATCCCGAGCGGAGCGGCGCCCCGCGGAGCCCCCACCGCCCCCGTCCCGAGGAGCCGCCGCCGCCCCCACCTGGCGAGTAGAGCTCGGCCAACTCGCGGGCCCCGGCGTGCTGCGCTCCCCAGCGCCGGCTGCCGCCCTCGGGCTCTTCCGAGGCCTCGCCGGCCGGCCCCGCCGCCTCCTCCCGCGGCGGTAGGCGCTCCATGGCCCGGCCGCGCGGCTCCGGGCCCCGGGGCGGCTGCTCCTCCTCCGTGCCGATGGGCGGCGGCTCCGGGCGCCCAGGGCCCGCCGAGGCGCCCGGCGGCAGCGCTGTGGCCCGCGGCAGCATCGGGAAATGGGGCCGGGCGGCGGGGGGGAGAAGGGGCGGCGACGGCGGGCGCGGCTGGACACGCCCACACCGCCGCGCGCCCGTCGTCGGCACCGCCACGCGACCTCCGGGCCAATGGGAAGAGGCGCTCGGCGCGGCGCGGCCAATGGCGCGGGGGGAGGGGCGGGAACACATCTGAGGCGCGCCGCGGGCGCATCTAGCGACGGGAGCGCGCGGCGCGGCGATGCCGCGGTCCCCGCGTCCGGCCGCGGTATTTCCCGCCGCCCCAAAGGCTCAGCCGGGGTCGCCGGCCGCGCAGACCCTCGCCGCGCCCCCACTGGGCTCCGGCCGCGCCACAAAGCCGGGACGGGGCAGCAGAGCCGTGACGGGCAGACCGCCATGCGGTGACGGCGCCCGCGCGCAGCGGCACCGCCCCGCAGTCCCCGCTCCGCCCGTTCCCGGCCGGGGATCGCCCGCCCCCTGGCGGCGCCTCTGCGCGCTGCGTTTCTGGAAGTCCTTCCGCTCCCCGCGGCGGCCGCAGCCGCGCCGTGGCCGTCAGATACCCGCCGCCCTTCGTTTGGTGGCGCACCCCGCGCTCCTTAACGGCGTCCGTGAAAAGGTGCGCACCGAGCCGCTCGCTGGTCGCCAGCAAACGCTCTCTTCAGCACAGAAAATACTAAGGGAAAAAGCCCCGACCAATACTATTAACGTCTATTAGTTTTGTTGTAATTTTTTTTCAAGGTCAAATAGAATAACATTGAAATTACAAATGACTGAATAGATTCCGTTTAAACAATTCACTTAGAAGGGGTGAAATGCGGAAGAGAGGTTTGTTGAGTCCGAAGGTGATGTGTTTGCAAACGACACAACACGGGACGGAGCAAAGCAAGGGGAATGCACAACCCGGACCTGAGGCTGTGTTGGCAGCAAATCACACCTCCGTGGAAAACGCTGTTCTGTCCCTTCGGGTCATCTGAGCCCCCTCCAGAGAGCTGGAAGCGCCCTCTGCACCGAGCCCTGAACTGCACGGGCCCTGCAAACCCAACTGCTCAGGAATGGCTCTACGTTGTCCCGTAACAGTGTGCCGAAATTGCCACGCTTCTGATGCCAGCTAAGGCATGCAGCGTGTCTTCCAGAGCCTGCCTTCCTCGGAGGATCACAAGTTAATTAATAACTAAG